GTCTAATAAGGACGTCTGAGCAACGCTGAAGCTTTACCTAACACAGACGTCAGACACAGACATTATTAACATCAAGCGAGGCTTTCAGGGACACGTTTACTTAGACGCAGGATGTCTGCATAACTGTGAGTCACCTGCCCTCACTAAGAGCAAGGTTTGTATTATTATACCTGTTCAGAACTTCCTAAATTTGGACTCTAACAAATATCCACTGGCAGCAGGTGCTTTTGGCTGATTTCCCTTGTTTAATTTAGCACAACTTTTACACCAGATATCCTTCCTGACACAACCCTGCCATCTATCCAGGCTTTTAGACTGGTACGCTAGCCTGTGTTTGCCTGAGACTGGGTCTCAAAACAGGGATCCTTCACACGTAACCACTACACCATGGACCCAGCATATTGTGATATTTAAAAACACTACAGGATTAAAACATCTTTAGTGAAAGTGAAACAAGCAAAACCAAACAAGAACCTGCCTGACACTAAACTGAATTACGAAATAGAAAAAAAACAACGAGTCTGACATGTAGCCCTTAAGACATCATCATCATCCACTGATTTGTCGTCTCCCATCTACGGTGGCCCCGAGAGGTCAAACCCACCGCAACTTAAGAAAACACCAACTAACAGAAAAATGCTGGAAAAGCAGACAAAACACAGCAGAATTGGGGAAAAAATCCACAATTGAAGTGTTTCTGGGGGCACAATAACATCACGGACCAGCTGCAGAAGTAGAAACCAAAACGTGTGAAGGATCGCAGTGAGACACGCTTAAAGAAGTAGAGGATTCATCGCTGTTGTGAGGGAGAAAAAGACGCAGGTAATGTGTGTTTTAATCACATTATTCATGTAATACTTTAGATGCATATTTGCTGTTGTGTTTTGTGTGCTTTCGTAGCATTTTTTTATTAGCTGCTGTTTTCTTAATTTGTTCGTTGGAACTCTCAGGAGCACCATGCCCGTCTTTCTTTCCTGTTGGTGAGTCTCCACGCTAATATGGTATCAATCTGTCAGTCACAATGCAGAATAACCTGATTCAGTCGTGTCTACTCACAACAACTGACACCCCAGTGCACTTTATGTGGTAAGGTAATACAATAATGCATGGAAAATCCCAACAATCAAATCATCTCCTATGAGTAAGCACTCGCCAACAGTGGGAAGGAAAAAAGAAAAGGGACCTGCTGGGGGTGATGGGAGAGAGAGGCAGTCCAAAAAAAAAGAGAAAGTCAGAGTCCAATTCATGAGATTTTAACTTGTTACTGAGAGCATAAAATAATTTGGAAAATGTATCCTGGGGTAATAAATCGTCCCACAGACTTCTGGAGTCGCCCCCTGCTGGCTGTTAGGAAGAATGACGGTGATAGAAAAACTATTAAAGTTATGTAACACGCTTTGCAGTAAGCTGAAGAGTTTATCTCTCAATGTTTCTCTCCATCTGTGCTCTTCTCAGGCTTTGTTGTGGCTACTCTGCTATCTGTTATCCAAAGCAGACAGAATCATGTTCAGTACAAGGACGCCAAGTAACTGTTAACAATAAAAAAAGTGGATAACATTGGAAAAAGTGTATAAATGAAACTCTGCCCTGCTTTTGCTTCCTTGCAAGTAAAAATGAACA